AGCTCAATGCCTCATTCAATGCGGCCAAAACCTGGGCTGTTCCAGCAAAGAATTGTGCGGCTGCAAGGGAATTTGAGACCTACCCCATCCCCCTTTTCTTAGGTAGGATCAAATGTTCTTGGACTGTCTCTGATGATTTTATCTAACCTGTTCTTAATGTGCCCAGAGCAGATCTCTAGATACTCTTGAAAAGTGGTCACTTACAGGCAGCTAACTCCTGAGTGAAAATACTGAAGCAGTTTTTATGCAGCCTTTTTGGTGAGGTGAGGAGAGCCGAGCAGAGGCACCTCAAGCACTTGAGTGTGTTTCTGAAGCCACAGCTGCTCTGTACTCGGTGCAAGTCCTACCAAGAGGTCACGTACCGCCTGGGGACGGGCATAGCCAGCCTGCCTCTGCCTGCGCCAGCGATGTCCTCTCTCGGGGCTCTGTGCCCGGTGGTGGGCAGTTGTTGGAAGCTCTTGCTGAGAGCGAGCTGAGGGCTCTCGCTTCTCCCCACCGGAGGCAAATTTCATCTGGCTAGATCCCAGATCATGGAAGGTAATCTGTTGCATTCAGTGCAGGTTTTGACTTGTCCTCATCTGATATTGAAGATCATATCGGTAGTTTTGCACCCCTAATTTGCAAGTGATTTGCACTCCAAGTTGTGGGAACAAATAATTCCATGTGTAATTTAGAAAATGTGGCCTGTGGAGTCTATTTGAAGTAACCATATTAGTTAAATTACCAGTGTGATTAACTGTAAGAATGAATGTGCTTTCATAAATGCCAAAGCAATTATTTCTGGTAATTTATTCCACTCCTTACAATATGGCTGCAAGAATCTGAATTAGTGTTTTTCAGTTAATATACTCCCTGTTTTGTGATGGGGACTTGAGAGAAATTTCTTCTTTCTAGGGCGATTAGATTATGCTAATTTGGAGAACATTTTCGATGTTCTTTATTAGAGTTTAGTAAATTGTGAGTAAAAAGATTTTCAGTGTAGGTGGTCAGCAACATACTTTTAGCAACAAAGTACACTACTACACTCTCTTGTTTCCGCATCTTTTCATTTGCTAGGATTAAAAACAGTGTGCATGAGGTGAGTGTATATCTATCTATACTTTATGATTATAAAACCAACCCCCACTTTTACAGCGGCACCAGTTACATGTTTAGTTCTGCGTTAGTGTCAGATGCATTCCCAAGTTGCTCATCTAGCTAGAGATTAGCATCACCTCAACTGGGTTCATGCAACTGTGTGTTTGTTTTCACAAATGTTTTTGGGAAATGATCTGTCGTAAAAGAAAAAGAAAAACTTTAACACATATTGTTGGTTTGTTCCTTTTGGGCTGGGTCCAGTACAGAATGCAGCCACACGAGTAGTTGAATTAGCACAACAGAGGAGGTTTTAATTTCCAGGCAGGAATGAGGGAAAACAGATTAGATTTACTAGAGTGACCTTCAACCAGATTTCCTACCAGCTACAGGTTGGAAGTGTGGCATCAAAGGCTATTTCTTTGAGTTGAGTAACTACTTTGCATTTTCATTGCTACTTGCAACCTTTTAAGTATTTTAATGCTGAATTTGTGAAACACAAATTATGGATTATGTAAATACTGTCTTTGCTTTTAAATTGTTTGCGGAGGTGTGGGATTATTTTTGATTTATTACATTTTTCCAGGGACCAATGTATTGCTAGTATTGTGGGCAATCAAGTACTATTTATTAGGACGAGAGGAAATGGCCTCAAGTTGCACCAGGGGAGGTTTAGACTGGACATAGGAAAAAATTCTTCACTGAAAGAGTGGTCAGGCCTTGGAACAGGCTGCCCAGGGAAGTGGTTGAGTCACCATCCATGGAGGTATTTAAAAGACATGTAGATGAGGCGCTTAGGGACATGGTTTAGTGGGTTGGGTTGACGGTTGGACTTGATGATCTTAGAGGTCTTTTCCAACCTTAATGATTCTATGATTCTATGATTGATTCTATTTGTGTGTACTATTGCATATTAGTTTAGCCAAGCTTAATCTGAAGGAATATTCATCTCTAAAGCAACGGCTCAGGAGCCATGCCTGCGATCTGTACTTCTATTCCAAATTGCCATTTTGCTGTTAAAATCTTCAATTCTTATTTCAAGAAGCATCAACATCATGATTAGGAGCCTTATTGCTGAAAGGTCAGATCTTTCTCTTTTGAGACCATCAGAGAGCTCTGCCTGCTTCTGCTGAAAACTGGAAAATAGTTATTAACATAGCCTCCTTTCAGCCCTCCTTAAATTCAGTGGTAAGGTCAAAATTATTACTGTTTACCACCTGCACTTACACAAAAGTTGGATATACTATGCATGCCTAACTTTCATGCTGTATGGAAGCTGTATCTTCTCAGCTGTCGGCCTGTCTTCTTGTGAACCAGAGCACTTATTTCAGTTAAAATAAATGTGTGAAAGTAAAACTGCTTAAAATAAGATTCAGAGGGATGCTAGGAACAGCTACACATGTGCCCCTATGAAGACTTGAATGGCAATTGCACCAGTTTTGCCTTCATTTCTCAGTAAATTGATGTGCAACAGATGTGTTGATTTTTTTCTGTGAATGTTCTGCTAGAGTGAAGGCATACGGACTTATAATTCTAGTTTAGAAAAAAATCTGCCTTACTAATTAATAAAAGTTACTATATACTCCTTCATCTATCACACATTCAAACACATATTTATCCCAAACCCCAAAATCTTTGAAAGATACGATGAGATTGAAGAATCATGCAAGATGAAGATGTTCTGTTAAATTTGCATGAGAGAATTCATGTTTGCAACAATGAACTGAGAATGACCACCATTCAAAAAGGCTGAATGAAAATGAATGCTTACTAATCAAAAGAGCTCTTACAACGGATCCTGTAACAATACTTGAATGAAAAGAGCATGGGGCTTCAGGAGTTTTGTGCCTTTCACATGTAACGATGATGCAGTGTACCTTTTCTGCAAAACTATAGTACAATTTTTTCCTGGCAGTTCTGTGGAACTATTTCTTTGATAAGAGTGACTGGAATTTAGAACAACTCTGGACCAGTGTTGGAAGTCAGCTGCCAGCTTTCATTAGTTTAATATGAATAATAAAACCAGCAGACACTTGGAACAGTACAACCCAATAGAAATGAAATTGTTGACTTCTGCCCTTCATTTTTCATATGTCATGTTAGTCTTGTATCTTCTTTATTTGTATTTATTGCACCAGATATTGATGGGCATTTTCAGATGTAGTTCTGACATAGTAAAAAAATTATTTCACTCTGTTGGGTACTAAATTCATGTGGGTAGCTGAGTTCTAGAGGAAAATTATTACTTCCGTTATTTTCACATACTGATTAAAAGTTATGGTCTAAAGGAATGCGTAGAAGGCTTGTAATAAGCAATGTGATTTGAACAACACATGGTACTGCTATAGAAATGTCTCACTACTGCTAAATATTACAAAGTTATTAATCTTTTTTGGCAAGGGGCCAGTGGGTTTCAAGGTGGTTTGGGTGTCTATTTCCCACTTCACTAAAATTCCCGTGTTCTTTATCTGACCTAATATCCTTCCTGACTGGAGGGTCTGGGAGACTTCAACCCACACTGCAGCCTGTAGGACAGAGTGACACTGAGTGTGGACATTGAAATTGATGCCCCTCTCCTATTCCTTGTCCAAGGGTGCAGGTCCTCTTACTGTGGAGGACAGCCCCTGTGCTCACACGTTCTCCTCGGGGTGTGAGAGTCCTTATCCCAGGACAATCTCCTCCCTTGCTCATTTCCTTTCTCAAATCCCTAGGGCTTCACTGACCCCACAGGTCCAGCAGTTCTTCTGACCTCTGGTACATGATGAGCCAGAGAAGGTGTAAAGGGTAGCAAAGGCTACAAACAACTGCAGAAGAGGGCAAGTCCCTAGATATCCTAGGATATTGGATATTACTCTACCCTCATTGTATCAATATTTAAGAATTCTGATATTATTTGGTGTCGTGTACATTTCGAGTTATTGTTCTTTTATAATATTATTAGTATATCACACATCACTGTGGTGAAGTCAGTGGGTAAAAGAAATTGGAACACAGAATTCCATGCCCCATTGCAGGGAACAGCATTGAAAATCAGAAAATGACTGTCTTATTCATGAAAGAAAAACTGAAGTTTCATTCCTATTCATTTATTCCTTTTCTTTTTTTTTTTTGGTTTTTTTTTTGATGGTGCTTTCAATACATCTTCCAGTTGAGGTCTTGGTCAAAATTCCTACACTAAAATGCTACTATATTAAGTTTTGAGTATTTATTTTTTCCCTTGTCTGATACCCAGCTATCTGTCACTTTGCTGTTTTTACAACTAAAATTAAATTATGCAAGCAGATACAAAAATTGTTACTCTTGGAGGTGGTAATAAAATTTCATATTGTGCATAAAAGTCAATACTGTATTTTTTAGATATAAAGTTAAAGCAGCTAGTGAAATGAGAGGAGCGTGAATAGAGAAGAAAGAATGGGAAAGGTTCTTGATTTGTTGTTTACTATCCTCACTAATGGATATCTGTAACTTGATTTAGCAGATAACGACCAAATGGTTTTGAATCAAATAATTCATCTGAATTAGAACGTTCCTCAGACACTGCAGGTTTTGACATAATGGTAACATTTTAATTGAATTCCTAAGAGGGATGTATTCATCCAGAGAAAACGTATTTTAAACACAGTAGAGTGTGGATAGTATAAATCTGGTTACCTCCGTGGGCAGACTTGTGTTGTGTGTATGCTGTCTGCCTTGGAAGGCAGGCGGGGACAGAACTGAGGTCCTGTAAAAGAGATTTACTATGCTGCTTGCCTATTATTAAAAAAATGATAATTTTTAAATGGAGGTTTTGGTACAGGTCATTAGTTTCTGGCTTCGAGTGTTTCTGCCACGTGGAGTGGTGGTGTGCTGCCCACAGCGGTGCCCTGCGGGGCCGCCCAGCTGCCACAGCGCGTGGTGCGATGGGGGCTTCTCTTTTGTCTCCGCAGAAGCAGGGGGCAAGAAGCTGCGGAGCACCGTCCAGAGGAGCACTGAGACAGGGCTGGCTGTGGAGATGAGGAACTGGATGACCCGTCAGGCCAGCCGGGAGTCGACGGATGGGAGCATGAACAGCTACAGCTCTGAGGGAAAGTAAGCAGCAGTTGTAACTGTGATTACCTGATGTTTCTCCATGAAACTGGTAGTTAGACAAAAGTGCGGTGAACGCTGTAGGTCCTGTTCAGTCAGAATTCCCTTCGCAAGCTAATGTCATTGATGGACCAAGCCTAAGTCTTCCCCTGTGACCAAAAGAGTCTCCCATTGTTGGTGCAGAAAGGATGAGGGTCATTTCTGCCATGCCATGAGAAAGGCACCTGGTGGGTCAGAGCATCAGCATGCGGTGTGGCAGGAGGGGAAGCGGATGCAGTGCACTGGGTATCTGAAAACTCCTCGCATACGTCTGTGCTTTGCAGAGCAAAGCATTTCCAGAGCATTTCCAGGTGTCATTCACTGGGCTCAAGAGTTTTTCAAAGATTCTGCTAATTAATCCTGAAGAAATGATCTGGGCAGAAGTACAAGACTGTCATGTATCATCCTTTTCATAAAAGCCCAAGTTAAAGACTTCTGAGTGGTATGTCCAAGACATTGCCCCAAAAAATCTTATTGTGGATAGATTTATTAGTGGTATTCACAGCACTGGATGATACGCCTGTACTGTACAATATATCTTACGTCCAAGTTGATGCAGTATAGGCACTTGAGATGGACATTTATGGTTGATTATTACAAATCTCATTAGTTCTTGTTGCCTTGTAATGGGTCACAGATAATTTATGGGAAGAATTTGAATTTTAAGTTACTTTGGTCATTTGCCACAATGGATTTCAGTTCCATTATTGAATAGACATCATTCTCAAAGACATTTTTAACAAAACGTTTATAATGAATGCTGATTTTAAAAGGTGATTTTAAAAATAGTGACCAGTATTCAGCCTAATGTAATAATTTCACTGGATACTTTTGACATTCAGCCATTGCATTTGCATTGATTGAGAAACGTGAGCAATTTTACCTTCATGTAATTAAATTACTGGTAAGGAAATGTACTAATATCTTATTGAACTGGTCTCATATGAATACTACAATAATTAACAGTGGTCTTTGATATATTGGGAAAAGAGAGCATGATGGAAAAATATTACTGTGGAAACTAGACTTAGTGAGGATTAGTGCTTCATTCACCTGTTCGTTTAGATGCTGGAGGCCAAATTGCAGCTTGTTGAACACTGAAGTTTTGAAAATTACAGTAATTGTTTTGTAATCTTGTCAGTGGAAGTAAGTTCCTTGTAAGCAGTAGTACCAAAAACATAAACACTAAATGCAAAACATCTAGAAAACAAAAAAGAGCAAATTAAAGTGTATTTGGTTTTGGGTTTTTTTCAATTTTTTTTTTAGTTTGATTTTCCCTGGTGTGAGGTTGGCTGCAGACAGCCAGTTCAGTGATTTTCTGGATGGACTTGGTCCTGCTCAGCTTGTAGGACGACAGACTTTGGCAACACCATCAATGGGTAAGCATTTATGTCCTATAGATATGATATAAGCTACTGGGTCTGGTAATTAGAACATAGAAATTATCTAGATTCTAAGTCTTTAAATACGGATTTGCCATATGGTTTTGAACAACTCAGTTAAGACCAAAACTATAACCTCAGCCAAAGTTGAACATAATTGTGGATGTTCATTAAGACACTCAAAAGTAGAAAGGTGCTTTGAAAAATTCAGTCTTTTTATCTCTTCTTCAGTTTTCCATCTTTAAAATGTGGCTAATGAGACCAATCCTTTCTCTGAATCACTTGGATAGTATTGAATAAAAATGGGAGTTTAGGTGCAAAGTATTTGTTATTATTGTGCTTACAGACTTTTTTATATTGACAAGTTATTTTTTCATACCTTGTCTTAAACTAGAGGCACGGTGAAGAGATTTCAAGCAGTTTTACAGAGCTGCTTTGTACTAACTCCCTTGCTGCTTTTTTTTAATCTGAAATTCTTAAGACAAAAAAATAATTTAACTTGAAGTGATAGGGGCGTGGGAAATGGGACACAAGATGTAATTGCAGGGTTTTTTAATTGTTTACTAACGTAAATAGCAGTGAAGAGGATAAGTATTAAATTATCTAGTAGTGTTAAAATCCAGATCATACTTACTGGTGGAATGCAGACGATACAAGTCATCATGTATTCATCCTAGAAATTCCCATAGCTTTTCATATATTTAGGTATTTCTGAATTACAATGCCAGGATTTCTTTTTGTTGTCTAGGAGATATCCAGGTGGGAATGGTGGACAAGAAAGGACAACTGGAAGTAGAAATAATCCGAGCCCGTGGCCTTGTTGTAAAACCAGGTTCAAAGACACTGCCAGGTAAGGAAGAAAAATCTTAGCAACAAGAATAGGATTCTACCAAAAAAATCCAGCAAACCCCCAACTTCTGAGGCTTTATTGTTCAACTTACGTAAACTCTTAGCAAATTCACATATCAGTAGATTACAGTATTGTGCACTGAAATGCTTAATGTATTGAAATGGTATACAAAAAAATCAACCCTACTTCAGGAGGAAAAAAAAAATCAGACTGGTGTCTGGGCTACCAGAAGACACAAAAGTTATTTTAGTAATAGCAAATGCATCCTTGGTTATGGGGTAGAAGGAAAGTATATACTGAAGATGTGATATAGGAATTTTAGGGATGAAGAGGGAATCAACAAGAGGTGTGGAATAGGTACCTACTCGAAAAGTAGACCAGTAGTTGATACTTACTCCTTATTTTATAATCTGATGTCCTATAACACTATGTGAAAAGGACAATATAGTGATATTTTTAGCAAGCTCTTCTGCCAAAATAGAAATTGTGTCAGAGTCTTTTCTTCACTGATTTTCACCTTGTAGCTAATTTTAAATTATTAATAATTTGGAGCATTGATCCAAATCTCACCAAAGTCAATGCAAGTCATTCTTTTACTTAACAGGCCTATTTTGCATACTGTATAGTATAGGGATACTATATATAGGAATATCTGATTTTTCCAGGTCAAAATCTGAATTGTTTCATGGCAAAAGAGACATATAAAAAGAAGAAAAGAAAAAATTATACCGGGGTGAAAAGTAAAGGAAATGCATAGATGCTTTGCATGTGAATAAATGTTAATATTACTTATGGAGATTTTTTCATATAAGTTATATATCCAGTAAAAGGCAGATTTTATCATATGGTGATAGAACAGTACATCTGTTAGGCAAAAAATCTGGACAACTTCTTTACTTATTGTTCTTTATTTTCTTTCTTTGAAGCACCATATGTAAAGGTGTACCTATTAGAAAATGGAGTCTGCATAGCCAAAAAGAAAACAAAGGTAGCAAGAAAAACGCTGGAACCACTTTATCAGCAACTTCTATCATTTGAAGAAAGTCCCCAAGGAAAAGTTTTACAGGTAATTTGCATCAATATTCTTCTGAATCTGAAAACATCACCTGTACAGTTTTCACTGAATGAATTTCAAACTTCCTTTCATGCTTCATTTGGCAAATTCTGCTATTTCAAATACTTGTTGAGCAGATAAATACTACAGTAATAACTGTTGATGCAAGTAGAAAGTGCTGAGCAAAAGTTAGTTGTTAGATTATTTTGCTTCTACTATATGTATGGGCTGCTTCTCTCACTGGGCTTTCTTAAGTGTCATGGGTAACTGCTCTGTTACCGCTCTGTTACCACCCAGGTCATTTCTGTCACTGCGTCATGGTTAGTATACACAGAACTAAACTATGTCAACAGTCAAATATTTCATTCCTTACTACAATTAAATAAGCAGAGACATTTAACGAATCAGATTGAAACTCTCATCATTTTTGCTGAAATTTTTCTATTTTCTTGTGTTTTCCTTTGCCAACAGATAATTGTTTGGGGAGACTATGGACGTATGGATCACAAATCCTTTATGGGAGTGGCACAGATACTTTTAGATGAACTGGACCTGTCCAACATGGTGATTGGGTGGTTCAAACTCTTCCCTCCTTCTTCCCTAGTAGACCCAACTTTAGCTCCTCTCACTAGAAGAGCTTCCCAATCATCTCTTGAAAGTTCAACAGGACCTTCGTATGCTCGCTCATAGCAGCTGTGAAACTGTTGTCATAGCAACCAGCGTTACAAAAAAAATAAAATTACAGGTCGCAAACCCTGGTAACACTGCATGCTTAATGTTGTGTCTTCTGAGCCTGTTTCTAGGGCTGCAACGCGATCCTGTGTTCTCAAGGAAGTTGCACACATTGTGCCCTACAGAAGGCCCTCAGGTGAAGGACTGAAGTCATGAAGAACTGATAGGTTTGGAGTTCAGGGACACTCAGTTTTGGTCCAATCTGAAGCCATGGACTAAACTAAAAGAATCAATCTGTTTCATGCAACAAAAGTCCTTTTCAATGGCATATCTGTTTCGTTGCTCCCGTTTCTTTATTTATCTGCCCTCCCCTCCCAAAGCTTGGTTATGCCACAGAAATGGGAGTTACTCTCCCATGAAGCCATGTTACAAGTCAGTGGATTAGCAGACATTGGAAGAAAAGAAGAATGTAAGGATGCTGGAAAAGTCAACTGTCGTTTGAAACAGTTGCTTGAGATCCGAAAACTCTTCATACTGAAAAGGTTCAAGACTTAAAGTGGCGGGCTTCATACCTCCAGCTATAGACACAGTGAAACCCCAGATGTGATGGACTCTCTGAAAAATAAAATTCTGTGGATATACTGTACTGTATGAAGTTAAAGAAACTTTTTTGCATGGACACAGATTTAGCTGAACACTTAAATTATTTTCTTGGGGCTGCAACTTGCAAAAAAAAAAAAAAATCAGCCATTTTCAACAATTTATATTATTTTTAAAAATAAATTTCACTAGTGCATGGTTTTAAAGGGAAGAGAATGCAACAGGGTGATACAAAGACACACCAAGTTTATCATTCTTTAAACCAGTCATGGTCTGTATTTTTGCAGACGTATATTAAAAATAAAAAATAATTTCTAGCAAATATTTAAAATTCTGTTTATGTGACAATTAAGTGTAATATATTAAATTTATTTAAATGTAAAAGGTACAAGCCTTGTAAAGTTCAACATAATGTGCAAATTGTACACTTCTTTTACCTCCTCCTTTCTCTATCTCTCCTCCCAGTCTCCCTTCTTCCTTTTGCTCTTTTTCCCCTCTACCTCCCAGGATGATCATCATATTCTAAAATGGCTACCTTTTGACTTATTACTCTCTTATGCCCCATATTTGGTTCAGGGTTGCAGATTGTTCTGCATTTCTGAATTATTTGACAAAAATATTGTTTTAAGAACTTACTTTTTTTCAAGCATGTTGAAAAGGATTTTGCAACATGGCTTGGGAGTACATTAATGTAATTCAGCATGTATTTGATAAAGAAGATATTTGAACTTTTTGCAATTTATTGTACAGTGCATGGTAACTTATTTTCATTTTTTCTCACCTTCAAATTGAATTCTACAGCAAAATACTGGAATCATGTGGCCATTGTAAGATGTCTTCAATAAATTTGTTTTCAGCACCAGCATCTTTCATTCAAAGGTTGAACTATCATTTCTTGAAGGTTTTTGGAAAGAGGAAAAATTAAGTACCTGGTTGATTTTTAGGAAATAAATTTAAACACTTTTGTTTGCACTAGACCAAATTAATCGCTACATTTTTGAGATTACAAAAGCAACAAAGGTTACTAATTCGTACAGTTCTTCTGCTGTAAAGTTCAATTTTCATAAACTACATTTGTGTTGCAAAAAAAAAAAAAATTAGGTAATATCAGTCTGGAAAATATCAGTCTTTGGTTCGTAAAATAGCCTTAAAGAAAGCTTATCAGTACCACTCCGACAGCTATTTGACACCATTACCAGAACCCTCACTGCAGTCAATGGATCTTCAAAAACCTGTTTTTTGTAGCAGACAGTAACTACCGTTGGGTGGTGCTGCAAGTTCAAGCTTCTCATTAAATTACATTATTTAAAGGGAATGTAACTGGCTAAGATTTAATAACAAAATGTCCTTTTTTCCTGGGTCTTTGTATGCCTTTAATACCTATCTAAGGTTTAATATTGAAACCTTGCAATAATTTTTGAAATATACATTACATTTACCTTTAAGGCCACACAGAATTATTCTGATTTTATTTGAAAATCTATTAAAGTTTCCCATTAAGAAATTGTACATGCCTCACAAGAGGGCAAAAGTAATAACAGTATCACTTAAAATGCCTTTTACTTTGTGCAATATCATATAAATCAAGATTGTGTCTTGTCTTCAGAGTTTATATAATGGATTATTGTTAAGTTAATGGACAGACTGGTAAAATTATATTTATTGAAATAATTTAGACACCTGTCTACCAGCAGCAAATAAATATTACTAACATGCAGTCTACAATATCCCCTAGGATATTAAAGAAAAATACATAACCATTTTCCTGATACTGTGAGATGTGCTCACACATTCTTGTATGCATAGTCCTATATAAATTATTTCAAATTTTAAAACCAAGGACATGACGCATGGAAGGTTTGTACATACTTGTCATTATGCAGTATTTATTTAAAAAAAATTGATGTATTTTTTTTAATTTTCACACGTCTGCAACTCTACTTATGGTTTAGTCATGTAAATAGCACTATTCCGGTGATCACTGCTGTCTTGTACATAGTACGTTTTAAAAAGTTAAAAGGAATTACAGTTGGGGGAAAAAAAAAGGGCGGATTAGGCCTGTAATGAACACCAACTAATGTAAATCAAACTCATTCTGGTGATGGTATTTAACACTTTAAATAAAACATTTTCTTTACAGAACTTGTGTGCAGCGCTCTGTTGCTTTTCTCTGAGACGGTCAGCAGCATCCTTCAATGAAGTTCGTGGCAAACAGCACATGCAGCTGGTGAACAAGCAAGCTTTTCTTCTCGTAACAGTGCTGCAAATGAAATACCATTTGTAAAATAACACGTTCACGGCCAGAGGTTTTCGGACCGTGCGTGCACGCAGGCGGGGGGTGCAGGGGGCGGCTGGGGCTGCCTCTCCCCAGCCAGGGATCGGGCTCTGCGCTCCGGCCACGCTCCTGCTCCCACATGCCGAAACAGGCGCAGGGAGCCAGGGCTGGAGCTGGCTCTAAGCTGCCGGCCCTGCCTGCGAGGACGTGCTCGGACTTTGGTGTAACCGGCACACTAAACGTGCTGGGACTGTGAAGTGCTACCGTACGGCGTGGAGTGACCGTGCCACCCGGTTAGACTTCCAGCATTTGAAATGGGTGGCCACGCTCAAAGCGGCTGCTGGGGATGGTTGTGGATCGAACTGCCGTCCTGTTCCCGGGTGCGTGGGGAGGGCACTGCCCGGCCCCCCCAGAGCAATGCCCGTGGTGGTCCCTGCCCAGGTAGGGTTCCTTGCCACCCACCGCTTAATTCACTAAGAAAGCTGTGGCCTTAGATTTTCAGCTCTTGAACTATAATATTATACAAGTTGGACTGTAAAAAGAGTAAGTGTGTAAGCTTCCACCCTATCCCTAGATACCACCTAATATTAGCTGCCTTTTTTCTTATGAGCAGGGCACAAATGAGGACAGAGTACCCAGCTGGCAGTGGTAGCTGCTGGGGCTGTGCAGCCTCCGCAGCAGGGAGCGGGCAGTGGTCCAACACCTCTACGGCTATGTGATGGGGATGGGGATGGAGATGGTGGGAGTGGAGGTTTTTCTCTCTGCCTGGCTCCTCAGAGGCAGCGTCAGCTCAGGCAGTGGTGACTGGGCAAAACTCGAGCGCTGCCACTAAGTCAGGTACCTATGCCTTGGAAATTTACTGAAGACTGGGAGGCTGGCTGGCAGTTTGCATAGGAAAATCTGCGCATTTGATGCCAGAAATAAGGCAAAAGAAAAGCACTGCGGTACTGTCAGGAGGTAAAAAGTCCAAGAAAGCAAGAGTATTTTGGGCAGAGTACTAGTGGAAACTGTGAGGAAGGAAACTCCATTTGTTGTACCGCGTCTGAAAGTGGAATGCTGGGGAAACAGATCCAAACTTCTGGCGTGTTAAACTACTAATGTCCCAGCAGGTCGCTCTTCTCCTCTGCTAACGCTGACGTTGCTGTTGCGAGGTGACAACTGGTTTGGAGCCAGGCTGTGACGGTGGGTGAGGCTGCCCCGTGCCCTGGCGTGCATTGCCTGCAGCCCTGCGGGGGGGTGGGCAGCGGGGCCGCCACCGCCCTCCTGCCACAGCTGAACACACCAGAGCTCGTCTGCCTTTGGCACTCTGCAGGAATAAAGGCAATTACACTCAGCAAATACGTGAGAAGGCACGCCGGTACAGCTGTACAGGCCAAAAAAAGGCCACAATATACTACCCTTCTAAAGGGTCCTTTTCTTCCTTGAGACAGTTTCTCAAGGTTGTTTGCTGTTTCCCCTCACCAACACCTTCTTGCCCACCTCCACTTAATTTCAAGCAAAACAAAACTGTAAATCATTTTAATCTTAACAGTCCCACTTTACTCATAACTACTAAACATTGACTCAGATGATTGATTCATGCTGTTATTCTGGAGTGTTTGTGCCAATGAAAAGTGCAGTAAAACACTATGTCACCCTAATTGTGGGACTTTTCTGCATCCATGCCTTTACAGCAGATCTTTAAGGCTCAAGTAGTGAGATGCTCTTGCCGTGATGAGGGTGAGCGCAGGGCCAGCACGTGCTAACCAGCACGCCGTTGCATTCCTGTAGCCTCTCGCTACTATCGAATAGCTGTTCACAGCTGTATAACTAATTAAAATATAAGTGTTTTCATATAGAAGGTTAAATACCAATGCTTTAACATGACATAAAAGTTAACAAAGCATTAGATTTCATAGCTTCCTCACAAAGTTAGGTAATGCTGTGGGGGAGTGTAGAGCAGTCCGTATTTGTTTCCTTAGCTCATGCCTCTGTGCAATTCTCACCTCCCCGTCATTCAGGCAGCAAAGAGCGGGCACCAGATTTAGAGGTCTCACAACAATCTTCCAACTGTGACTACCCTCTCTGTCCCTTCAGTCCCTTTGCAGTGAGCCTTTACTGGGAGCAAGCAGCTATGCGAGAAAAAAGATGCACATTTTCCCAGGCAAGAACGGTCCACATTTAGGACAGATTAATGGGAGCTAGCTTTAGCTGGCAAAAAATAAAGCTATATGTTACTAAGACCAAAGATAAATTAGCTTCTGGAATTATTGGCTTAATACCTGCCTATTTTAGATGTCTTGTTTAGGATGAGATGAGTCACTCTGGGGAGATCAGATTCTCTTCCTATCTCCCCATTGACCACAGAAGCAGAAAGCGATGACTGGCTTGGGTTGAATGTCTAACTTCACAGCAGCTGAGCTTAGGAGAAGTGGACCCAGCCTCAGCAGCCAGGAATAAGGACAAAGACTCCATGGCCCTTCATTAGCAAGTCCTATCTGAACTGCCTGTATAATTATCAGGTCTGAAGGCAGCAGGCAGCCGATGACTGATGAGGGAGGAAATGGCTGGGAATTAATTTCCCAGGTCTGACACACTGCCCTGTCAGGCCACTCCTCAGCCCAGCCCCAGGGAGAAAGAGCAGCAGGCATACTAGTTAAACCATAGGGCATTAATGCCCCAAAATATATTTGACATGAGGTCATGCAGAAACAAAAGGGCATCTTAGATCTGCAAAAAGTGCATGACACAGGACTGAGGAAAGTTTTGTCATAAATGCCTGTGCTCTGTGACCATTCCTGCAACCAAGAACAGTTTACTAAGTGCCATCCAAAATGTACGTTTTGTTGAACTGGTGTTGGCATGAATACGGAA